ACCATCACCGATTTCGGGCGATTTTATGGAAAGTCAATTTTCCTTGGATTTTGAATGCGATGGATCACAGATTGGGCCTTAGGGTACTCTCCACCAACGATGAAGTCTAGCAATGGCCGATTCGGGAGGAAATTTGGTCGAACTTTTTCGGAGGGCATTTTCGTAATTTTTAGGCGCTTTTTTCGAAAGGCCATTTTCCTTCGATTTTGAAGGGCGCAGATCACGGATTCAGCCTGAGGCTATTCTTTAGGGATGGATAAGTCTACAAAACAGCGTTTCGGGCGAAAAATTTCCGGGGCAATTTTTGCCAGTTTCCAAAGGGGTACCATCACCGATTTCGGGCGATTTTATGGAAAGTCAATTTTCCTTGGATTTTGAATGCGATGGATCACAGATTGGGCCTTAGGGTACTCTCCACCAACGATGAAGTCTAGCAATGGCCGATTCGGGAGGAAATTTGGTCGAACTTTTTCGGAGGGCATTTTCGTAATTTTTAGGCGCTTTTTTCGAAAGGCCATTTTCCTTCGATTTTGAAGGGCGCAGATCACGGATTCAGCCTGAGGCTATTCTTTAGGGATGGATAAGTCTACAAAACAGCGTTTCGGGCGAAAAATTTCCGGGGCAATTTTTGCCAGTTTCCAAAGGGGTACCATCACCGATTTCGGGCGATTTTATGGAAAGTCAATTTTCCTTGGATTTTGAATGCGATGGATCACAGGATTGGGCCTTAGGGTACTCTCCACCAACGATGAAGTCTAGCAATGGCCGATTCGGGAGGAAATTTGGTCGAACTTTTTCGGAGGGCATTTTCGTAATTTTTAGGCGCTTTTTTCGAAAGGCCATTTTCCTTCGATTTTGAAGGGCGCAGATCACGGATTCAGCCTGAGGCTATTCTTTAGGGATGGATAAGTCTACAAAACAGCGTTTCGGGCGAAAAATTTCCGGGGCAATTTTTGCCAGTTTCCAAAGGGGTACCATCACCGATTTCGGGCGATTTTATGGAAAGTCAATTTTCCTTGGATTTTGAATGCGATGGATCACAGATTGGGCCTTAGGGTACTCTCCACCAACGATGAAGTCTAGCAATGGCCGATTCGGGAGGAAATTTGGTCGAACTTTTTCGGAGGGCATTTTCGTAATTTTTAGGCGCTTTTTTCGAAAGGCCATTTTCCTTCGATTTTGAAGGGCGCAGATCACGGATTCAGCCTGAGGCTATTCTTTAGGGATGGATAAGTCTACAAAACAGCGTTTCGGGCGAAAAATTTCCGGGGCAATTTTTGCCAGTTTCCAAAGGGGTACCATCACCGATTTCGGGCGATTTTATGGAAAGTCAATTTTCCTTGGATTTTGAATGCGATGGATCACAGATTGGGCCTTAGGGTACTCTCCACCAACGATGAAGTCTAGCAATGGCCGATTCGGGAGGAAATTTGGTCGAACTTTTTCGGAGGGCATTTTCGTAATTTTTAGGCGCTTTTTTCGAAAGGCCATTTTCCTTCGATTTTGAAGGGCGCAGATCACGGATTCAGCCTGAGGCTATTCTTTAGGGATGGATAAGTCTACAAAACAGCGTTTCGGGCGAAAAATTTCCGGGGCAATTTTTGCCAGTTTCCAAAGGGGTACCATCACCGATTTCGGGCGATTTTATGGAAAGTCAATTTTCCTTGGATTTTGAATGCGATGGATCACAGATTGGGCCTTAGGGTACTCTCCACCAACGATGAAGTCTAGCAATGGCCGATTCGGGAGGAAATTTGGTCGAACTTTTTCGGAGGGCATTTTCGTAATTTTTAGGCGCTTTTTTCGAAAGGCCATTTTTCCTTCGATTTTGAAGGGCGCAGATCACGGATTCAGCCTGAGGCTATTCTTTAGGGATGGATAAGTCTACAAAACAGCGTTTCGGGCGAAAAATTTCCGGGGCAACTTTTTGCCAGTTTCCAAAGGGGTACCATCACCGATTTCGGGCGATTTTATGGAAAGTCAATTTTCCTTGGATTTTGAATGCGATGGATCACAGATTGGGCCTTAGGGTACTCTCCACCAACGATGAAGTCTAGCAATGGCCGATTCGGGAGGAAATTTGGTCGAACTTTTTCGGAGGGCATTTTCGTAATTTTTAGGCGCTTTTTTCGAAAGGCCATTTTCCTTCGATTTTGAAGGGCGCAGATCACGGATTCAGCCTGAGGCTATTCTTTAGGGATGGATAAGTCTACAAAACAGCGTTTCGGGCGAAAAATTTCCGGGGCAATTTTTGCCAGTTTCCAAAGGGGTACCATCACCGATTTCGGGCGATTTTATGGAAAGTCAATTTTCCTTGGATTTTGAATGCGATGGATCACAGATTGGGCCTTAGGGTACTCTCCACCAACGATGAAGTCTAGCAATGGCCGATTCGGGAGGAAATTTGGTCGAACTTTTTCGGAGGGCATTTTCGTAATTTTTAGGCGCTTTTTTCGAAAGGCCATTTTCCTTCGATTTTGAAGGGCGCAGATCACGGATTCAGCCTGAGGCTATTCTTTAGGGATGGATAAGTCTACAAAACAGCGTTTCGGGCGAAAAATTTCCGGGGCAATTTTTGCCAGTTTCCAAAGGGGTACCATCACCGATTTCGGGCGATTTTATGGAAAGTCAATTTTCCTTCGATTTTGAATGCGATGGATCACAGATTGGGCCTTAGGGTACTCTCCACCAACGATGAAGTCTAGCAATGGCCGATTCGGGAGGAAATTTGGTCGAACTTTTTCGGAGGGCATTTTCGTAATTTTTAGGCGCTTTTTTCGAAAGGCCATTTTCCTTCGATTTTGAAGGGCGCAGATCACGGATTCAGCCTGAGGCTATTCTTTAGGGATGGATAAGTCTACAAAACAGCGTTTCGGGCGAAAAATTTCCGGGGCAATTTTTGCCAGTTTCCAAAGGGGTACCATCACCGATTTCGGGCGATTTTATGGAAAGTCAATTTTCCTTGGATTTTGAATGCGATGGATCACAGATTGGGCCTTAGGGTACTCTCCACCAACGATGAAGTCTAGCAATGGCCGATTCGGGAGGAAATTTGGTCGAACTTTTTCGGAGGGCATTTTCGTAATTTTTAGGCGCTTTTTTCGAAAGGCCATTTTCCTTCGATTTTGAAGGGCGCAGATCACGGATTCAGCCTGAGGCTATTCTTTAGGGATGGATAAGTCTACAAAACAGCGTTTCGGGCGAAAAATTTCCGGGGCAATTTTTGCCAGTTTCCAAAGGGGTACCATCACCGATTTCGGGCGATTTTATGGAAAGTCAATTTTCCTTGGATTTTGAATGCGATGGATCACAGATTGGGCCTTAGGGTACTCTCCACCAACGATGAAGTCTAGCAATGGCCGATTCGGGAGGAAATTTGGTCGAACTTTTTCGGAGGGCATTTTCGTAATTTTTAGGCGCTTTTTTCGAAAGGCCATTTTCCTTCGATTTTGAAGGGCGCAGATCACGGATTCAGCCTGAGGCTATTCTTTAGGGATGGATAAGTCTACAAAACAGCGTTTCGGGCGAAAAATTTCCGGGGCAATTTTTGCCAGTTTCCAAAGGGGTACCATCACCGATTTCGGGCGATTTTATGGAAAGTCAATTTTCCTTGGATTTTGAATGCGATGGATCACAGATTGGGCCTTAGGGTACTCTCCACCAACGATGAAGTCTAGCAATGGCCGATTCGGGAGGAGATTTGGTCGAACTTTTTCGGAGGGCATTTTCGTAATTTTTAGGCGCTTTTTTCGAAAGGCCATTTTCCTTCGATTTTGCCTGAGGCTATTCTTTAGGGATGGGTAAGTCTACTATCCATTACTTAAGTTGAGACACTACATCGATAATGTGAATTCACTGAAAAGGTAGTACTGTAAGAGTGGTAAAAAATACATAATAATTTTTTTTCCTAACAATTCGAGTGATTGGAATCAACTGGTTTATGATATGGTATCAGAGTTGGCTTGTTCTTGAGATTACGTGTGTTTTGTTTGTTAGATTCTTGCTGTTGATCCTTCGATTTCCCGATTCGTAGAAACGGTCCTCCTGACAATTAGACCCTCCTGATAATTAGACTTACCACTAAGAGGCGTTGAAGGATGATTATCGGTTCTGCAAGCGTCCAATCCGATCTGATTCTGATAACTCAGATGATATTGCTTAAGGGATGTACGGCTCTTGTTTCCAAAATCATAGGTATACGAACAACATTTTGTATCCATGTACTTGAATCTCTAGTTGAGGAAAATGATATGAGGGTGCGGATTTCCTCTTTCTACTGTTTCTGTCCTATATGGACACTTCATAACACTACAAGAAAAAAAGGCTTTTGCAACCAAAATAATGGGTCCCTAAAAGTCCAAAATTGGTTATTAATACTCTTTCGCAACCAAAATATTTTGGTAGCAGAATTGGTGGCTATAGCCGCGTTACGAATACCTAATGCAACCAAAATAGTGATTGGTAGCGAAAAAACAAGCTATCGCAACCAATTTTGTCAAAGGTAAAAACCCTTGATTTTTTGCAACCATTTCTGTTTGGTTGCTATAGTCCAAACTAATGGTTACGGAATGTAGGTGTTTGGTCGCCATAAATACAAATAACAACCAATTGATGTAACCAATAATATCATTATGACAACCAAATTTTTTGGTTATAAAAGTATAGCGCAACTATAAAACTTGGTCGTGAAAAATATATATGCCGACCAATCATATCATTTTAACGACTAACTAATTTTGTTATAAAATTTTAACACAACCATTAGAATTGGTCGTGAAAAATACACACCTCAACCAATTAAAGCACTTTGGTGACCAATAATTTTAGTTACAAAAGTTTAACGCGACCTCAAAAAATGGTCATAAAAAGTAAATATGCCGACCAATCATAATATTTAGGTAACTAATTTAATAGTTATAAAATTTTAACACAACCATAATTATTGGTTGTAAAATATATGAACGGCGACCAAATAATTCATTTCATATAACCAATTGGGTCAATGAGATTTTGGTCACTAAATTAAAATATTAAAAATTAAATAGAATGATAATACAAAATTGTATTATATAACAAAATTGTATAGTAACCAAAATTGTAATTACATAATTTATTTTTTAGTAACCAAAATCACAATTACACAATATTATCACTAAGAATCAACCCCCTATTCCAAAAATCACAATTACATGAATTGGTTGGCTGAAAGCTTCGAAACCTGTGTTTTTTTTGTAGAATTCCATTAATTCGCGCATTTGTTGAGGTATGCCTTTCTCCTTTGATAATCGTTCCTCTTTCCTTCGTTCGCTTTTTCCCTAGCTTCCTGGAGAGTGTGTATTCCAAAGTTCTAGATTACCAAATAAAAACAAGAGAAACAAGATGGCTATGTATGATGCTGTTGGAAAAAGTTATCAGTTTACCTTGTACTCACTGATGAAATAATCATGAACTAAGCCATAGTCCAGGTGCAGCTTCCCTGTTATATGAGTAGTTCAAAACAAAAAATTCTCTGGCATATGAGACTGTGTACTCTCTGCGGCATCATTTGCAACGAGAAAAGAAATGCATATCTCACATGGTAAAGGAATTTACCTTGACAAAAGTGTTGAATAAGCTGACAAGGAAAGAGCCATACTGGTCAAGATTATAAACTTTGTTGAGGAGGGGACTGACATAGTAGTTCTGAAGGAAATTACAGCTGTCAGCTGGTGAGACAAAGTAATTGCTGCTGAGACAAAGTAATTGCATGCTGCCCCCACTGCAAAAAAAGATTCAAACAATCTACATTAAAAAATGCAGTGAAGGAAGGAGTAGTAGTTAGTAATCTGATGATAAGAATTCACATTAAGAGCAGAAGCTGTCATCAAAACCAGAACCAGCAGAGGCAAAGTGGGTTCCAATTAGAAGGCAGTTAACATAGATACCTAAAATCTAGTTGACATAGATACCTAAAATCAGTTTTATAAAGTATGATGTGGCCAAATTGGGAAGACAACAAGTAAAGAATAGAATCCAGGTGCATACATGTTTCTGGCTCCCACAAGCTCACCTGCTGATAATTGGCTGAGATCCCATTTCATTGTAAATAAATAGATCCTTTGTAACCTGCCAATCAATCCCAAAAAGCAACCACCAAAGCAACTATAAAATCCTTTGAGGATTTTATGGACTTACTACATCCCCTCAAAATCTTGCTTCGAAGGACTTAATAAGATTTGGGGTTTTTACTACTAAAGAGCACAATTAGAACATGATTTAACACCATCATGTTCGATTCAAATAAAAACCAGTGAGACAAAGGCTAAGTTTCATTTTAGCCGTGCAACTGATGTAATGCACTTAGCTACATTAAGCCCTTCAATTGAAGTTGGCCTTCTACAGAGAGAACTCGAAAGGTTGTGCAAAGCAGAGAGGGACAAATGAAAACCAAAACCCAAAGGCAAAACCATTAAACAAAATGCTTACCTGATGTGTGAATTCCTTTCTCTCATCAAGCTTGAAAAAGTAAGAGTTTCTCACATACTTTGCACCTTTACTTTCTTGTACTTGAAAGTTGCCAAGTTCAGCTAAGCAAACAGAAATACACAACGAAGGAACTTATGGAAAGCTGGAACAATACATACAACAAATGAATTTAGATTACTGACTTATACTCTATAAGTAAAAGGTACTCTCGTCTATTATAGCATCCTTCACCTTTAACATTCGTAGTGTTCATAAAGTAGTTAATCCCGTTGTTCAAGTTGTTTGCTGCCATCTGAGAATAGAGCAATTTGATCAGCAACGTACAACCTCTCCAAGTGACCAAAATAAGCAAGAACTATGTCCTTAATTAGCAATGCTTCTACACTATACCCAACCAACTCCCAGTTCACCTTCCACGATGCCTCTCAATTGTTCATCAAGTTTTCTTTCTTGAACACTTACTTGCGGAACCAAAAATCACTAAATCACTCAGAAAGACATAGCCAAATCGGAAACAGAATCCGTAAATCAAGATAAATCAACGATATTCATAAGTTACCTTCGTTCACCTTCAATCCACTTAGACTACATTGAATTAATCTGCAAACACTAACAAGTCAGTAATTAATAAATAAAATGTGACAGAAACTACACAGAAATAGCAAATTACGAGCGACTAGCATGGACATAGATACTTTCTGGCTCGGGGACGGAGGTAGGAGAAGATGGGGACACCACTCTAACAGAGAAGAAACGAGCGCGTGGTTCGTCATGTGACTTCCCATTTCGCACATCCCTTGTGGGACTCAATTTTTCTCTTACAACAAGATGGAGACACCGCTCTGATGCTTCCACACCCACTGAAGAACGCATAATTTGTATCTTTCGATGGCAATGAACAGAAAGTCACGTGCTTCACCCTCTTGGTTGTACAAATGTAAAATATGTGCAAACTCTAATAATTTTACTCAAATACGAGTAATTGACTGTAATGAATTCAAAAACAATGTCAAACAATAAGCTTAGGTGGAAAAAGAGAGAACAATGTTTAATTTTAAGCACTACATCGATTACATGCGAAGAAATAAGTACTGCAAAAAGAAATGAACTTGTTAAACTCAAATTCATGAACCCATAAGAAGAAACAGGAGAACCTTATTGCAAGATTTAGGTACCTGAATATGCAGACATAAGATCTTTTTTACTTTGCCTCTATAGTGTGAAGTCTATAGCTCATAATGCCAAAATTGAGGTGCCAAAACCTGCAAGGAAGGAGTCACAAAAATTCTGAAAGTGCCTTCCATCTCAAATTAAGCCACTATAGTATTGGTCGAAGCTTTGATCTTGTTTTCTAGTAATGACAGGTAAGTAGAACAGGCTGCATAGCTCCATAAAAGATCAGGCTCGGGATAAACTGCAACAGGGGTCGAGATAACCTCACTCAATGTAACACGTTTGGCATGAGCTGCACATAGCATCCCACCTTTAAATAAGTGGACCAAGAAATCCTCTGCTTCCTAAAACACATGGCGATTCAATTAATAGACTCAGGTTCAAGTGATTGTCTGGAAAGTTCTGATCATAATTCATAAGTTGTATCAGTAAAAGTGAAAGAAACCAGTCACAGTAAAGCTTGAAATGTCCCTATGCTATTTCATTAACTTGAATGGAAAAGCAATGAGAACAATGCAAGTGGTCATGGTACCTCTTGAAGAGCCACGATACCTTCAAGTTTCCAGCAGTTCACTTCCTGGCTATAATCTTGGGTGATCGCTTTTACCTAGTGATAAAAATGTAAGGACCATGCACAACAATGAAACTCAAATTCTGCAATACCAAGATGATAAAACCAACAGTAACTAATGAAAGTGCAGTCTACTCTGAAACACAAGTCATGCCAAACAGTCCTCTAAATGCCTGCTTCTAGGAGCTTTCCATGTAAATAGTCATTGGCCAAATCCTACAAATTACCATGGACTACCAGAATGAGAAGACATATCTACTTTAAGTAACAATTGGTCAGCCGAGTCATATGTATACATGAGACCCAGAGACAAACTCAGATTGATTACCAGTCGAACCAAGTTGGCAACAGGGATAAAGAAACCAGAAATCTTCTGATAGTGACAAACTTCTCATGGAGCCACCCTTCTAGGCCTCCAGCAATGAGGCTTCCTTGGTGTTTGACCTTTCAAAACAAAAAGGAAATGCAAGATGAAAACACCCTAAGTAAAAAAAGACAGATCTGAGCTGGGGAAAAGAAATCACCAACGTTGTGAAGCTTCTTCTCGTGCTGCTGCTCTCCTCGGCGATCTGCTTGGTCCATGAGTTTTCAATTGGAAACCAAATTAGGGTTCCTGCGACTATCGAGCGCCTAACTGAAGACTGAATGTCTAGAAACTAAAATGTACTCTGCAAGTACTGGAATCGGTGAGAGAACCTGATGAGGATGATTCATGATTGTGCATTCGGAGTTGAGAGGATCTGACGCCACGTGTTTGAGGAAGCTCAACAGCTGGGAGAGTGAGCCGGCGGAACCGGATTTCCACCATGTCCAATGGCGCCGCCGGTGTGCTCGTCGCCGCGTTCGATGAATTGGTGAGAAAATCTGTAGAGAAGCGGGCGGTGGTTCTGGAGGAGCTACTGAGGTCGATGAGCGGGATGTTTAGGTGAGTAGCTGCAACAACGGGGGAGAAGTCGCAGCATCTTGCAGTCTTCTCGTTTCGCCAAAATCGATCAGAGCTCTGTTCTAGTACTTGAAATTGAACGACAACAGAATCGTTGCCAAGCAGAACTCACTCATTGCTCTCAAGGAATTTTTCATATCATCCTGGAAACGAGAAAGAGTTGCCAAATCGATGCTAGAAATCAAGGATTTACATCAAATCCTCGTTGGATTCCTGAGATCCCAAATCTCCACCGCCATAACCAAGCTTTCTCTAATCTCCTTCGGGACAAAATTTTCTTTTGCCTCTCTATTTGGTAGCCGGATCTCAAAGAATTCAAAGTAGTATAGAGGGAATCAGGTGATTTGAGAAAAGAAGGAGAAGTTGGAGTTCGGAGATTTTGGGTAGTAGGAACTAGGAAGAGTGAACGAAAGAGATGAGAAAAGAGTAAAGTTGAGTGTTATTTCTTCTTTTTTTCCCCAATAAAACCCGTCAACACTTCTATTAAATATCAATACAAGTATACAACTGCAACCAAATAATTTAGTAGCTGAAATGTTTTTATTGGGTATGCAACCAAATTATTTAGTTATTTAATACTCATGTTTAAATTCATAACCAATAATATTTAGTTGGGGAAAGTAAAAATCAATATGCTACCAAATTATTTGGTTGGAAAAGGTAAAAATCATTTTGCTACCAAAATAATTTGGTTGGAAAAGGTAAAATTATTTTGCTACCAAATTATTTGGTCTCTTCAAGTTTTATTTGGTTATCAATACTTTGACTTTAATAGACAACCAAATTTTTAATATTTTAGCTTCCAAAATATAATTGGTTGTATATATTACCCTTTTCACAACCAAATTTAGTTTGGTTGTAAACTTTTTGGTTGCAAAAGCTAGTTTTTGTTGTAGTGTAAGCCGTCATCATTGAACTATTTTTTTTTTAATTGTTCAAGTTTGAAAAAAATGCCGAACCTTCAAATCGACTTTGGTGCTTTAATTAATTAGTATGAAAGTTGCTATTTAGGGTAATTAAGGTGCGAATGTTTCCTCGTTTGGGCGTACAACAGAAGACTACGTACGTAAATACCCATGAAATGAAAGCTCATTTTCTCCCCTGCAGAAAAACGTGGTTTCTTTTCTGGACCTAATTTTCATAATTTCATAATAAGAAAACAAAAAGTCAGATTATTTTATAATTATACCCTCGCCACTGAAAATAATATTGGAACTTTGACTAGCCACATGCACATTTCTTTCTCTTTAAACAGTCATATTTGGTTTACTTATCTCATTCCACGTGGGCTGCTGCATGCATGCTCTAGCTGATCATCCCACCACTAAAAAAAAATGGACTTATGCCAAGGGTTTTTTAGCAAGGGTTCCCCAACCCTTGCTAATTTTTCCGGAATTTTTTTGTAGCAACGCTTCTTTTCAAGGGTTTGTAAACCCTTGCTACTCTTAAACCAGATTTCAGCGAAACGCGAAAAACCCCTGTTTCCCCTTTCACATTTTTTGGTAGCAACGCTTATTCTCAAGGGTCCAGAACCCTTGCTACAACTTAAAACAAATTTCAGAACCCCTGTTCCATTTCACGATACGAGAACCCCTGTTCCATTTTGGTGATTCTGCCGGAGTGAGCGAGTCAGATCGGAGAGTTGACCGTCGGAGTTAGATCGGAGCATCCAAATACCGTCGCCCATCATCACTTTCGCTGCCTCTGCATTCTCGTGTTCTTTGACTACCCATTTCCTGATTTGGCCGAATCTGTTCAACTTTCGCCGTGGGTTCGGGAGTTGCCGGCGCCTTGGTTCAATTTTGATGATTGCAAGGTAACTTTGAATGGGTTTTTTTGCCTTATAGGTCATTGTTGTTTTACTTAAACTTCTGGAAGCAGTTTGAGTGTTTTATTAGGGAAATTTCTTTCTTGGTGGGTAGGGTGCTGTTACTGCAACCACATAGAAAGGGATGGATAAACTTGTTCTTTTCTAAGCAAAGCAGTGAGGTCAATCATCATCAATTGTTTAGTCAAATTAGTTTCTGAGATAAACAATTGATCCATCTTATTAGATGCAGAGCTTGAAATGTTGATTGAGATACTGTATCCATCAATAGAGGAACTTGAGCCAAACAACTCACTTCATCCCGGTCCAACTTTTGATTGATAGAATCTGTTCATTTTGACTTGCAGTGATATCTATAATCGACAAAATGGACAAGAGCTGGATGAAGAAACATAGAACGAGCAATGAATATAAACACGGAGTACAACTTTTTCTTGATTATGCATTTCGAAATGCATCTCATGGAGCAAAGATATTGTGTCCTTGTATCAATTGTGTAAATGTATATGCACAAACATGTGAAGATATTCGGGTGCACCTCATTTGTGATGGTATTCTAAGAGGATATACTACATGGGTTTTTCATGGAGAAGCTTTATGTTCCCCTCAAGACCTCTTTCTGGCCTTACTAGTGGCTAAACACAACCAAATTAATCTCTCTAAACTTGGGGTTTGTGGCAGACAATGCGTGTGAGTGTTTAGGAGAGGAATAGGCAGGAGATTAATTGCAATAATTGGCCCACTGTCCTCTTCTAATATATCACTGTTTTTTGGTTTATGGGTTTTATACTTATAATTCTTTTTTTTCTTGTATGTAGTCAAAGTTTCGGTATCCTGCCTATCTGGACAAGTGGATTTTGCAAGCTGTTAACCGGAAGTGGGCGGAGTTCAAGTGTGATTTGAAAAGCAAGCATTTTGGAGTTGGGAAAACAATGGACAACATTATGGCTGAGGGACTCCCACAAGGTGTTACCGATGTAAATCAGTGGTACACCTTGGTAGCTAGCTGGTTTACAGAGAAAAGCTTGGTAAGATTACTAACGGTTTACCAATTATGAGTAATATGTCTTAGTTTAGATGCACATGATGAGAAACTTATTTTTTTCCAGAAAATGAGTAAAGTAAACAGCAACAATGCTAAGAAGAAGAAGCTGCATCACACGGCTGGAAGGAAGAGTATTGCAAGGATAAGAAAGGAATTGGTAAAAACTCAATCCAGTTTAGCTCTAGATAATTGAACTTGTCTATGTTGTTCTCAGTTCAAATATGTTAATGCTTACAGAGGGCAAAATTAGGTAGAGCACCTACTAGACTTGAAGTTTTTGAAGTTCTCCATAAGAGGAATGACGGAACATACATTAATGACTATGCTAAGGATTTCATGGTAAGACCAATACTATTCTTTGATCCTACTAATCTATTATGCTGCATTCTGATTCCTATGCATTTTTTTTTATAATGGTGATGATTGATTCCTATGCATTCTTAAATTGTTGCTTCATAAAGGATAAAGCAGCCGAAATGGAGGGCCCTAGGGAGGAAGTTTTTCAGAAGCTAGCAGGCCGGGAGCATAATGGGAGGCTTCGATGCATGGGGTTTGGGCCAACTCCGACCACATATTTTGGAGTGTGCTCGAGAGGGGCTGCATGTGGATCTTGTTCGACTGGTCATTCATGTGAGGATGCGACTGCTTTGAAAGAGGAGTTAACGGAGGTGAAGAAACACATGGAGGCCATGGCGAGGTTCATCAGTAGGCAGTTTCCCGGACAAAACTGGATGGAAGATCACGTAATGTCCCATCTGTCTTTTTTCCTAGTCAATTACATCTAAATTTTTTTGTAGTGGTGCTTTCTCATAACATAGCACTTCTGTTTGTAGTGGTGCTTTCTCATAACAAAGCACTTCTGTTTGTAGTGGTGATATGCTGCTGCAACATTTGGTTGATTATATAGTTGTTAGTGAATTAGATGTAGAGTAGCTTTGATAATGAGAAACGAGGACCAGGTTGTGGTTCTGATGTGAAACAATTGAATGGTTGTCAATACTTGCCCTTAACACTTACTCATAATTGTCCTATGTGCCTATATTTTAATATTTTTCCATACAACTCCCAAATTTCTAACATTTCTTGCTGAATGCTGCCAGAGTCAAAATTCTTTAAGTTGGTTCAGTGTTTCTCTTGTAGCTGAATGCCATAGGCACACTTAGAAATGCAGTTGTAGTTATAAGTAGTATTTTCTAATGATTTGATGGTAAAATTTCTATTCAGGGTAATGATTTAGTTTGATGATGGAAGCTTGTGTGTTTATGACTAGTAATGGTGGCTTTGACTGAATCTATGTGCTGGAAAGTTGTTGCCAAGCTTGTGTGTTTATGACTAGCAAATTCTGGGTTTTCTTTATGATTTTTTATTTTATTTTATGAGCAGGGTGCCACCACTAGTGCTCCGACTCCATCAATGGGATCTCGAGCTTCGTGATCAATTGTCGTATGAAGCATTTTGGGAATGATCGATGGTAAAGAACACCATTTTGGATTATGAATCATATTATGTTATGGTTCATGGGTATATGGTATGACTTTGGTCATGTAAAGAACATCATTTTGGGTTCTTTTGAGTATGTTTGAATGTTCATGGTGATTAGTATTTAGTCATGTAAAGAACACCATTTTGGATTATGAATCATATTATGTTGTGATTAATGGGTATATGATATGAGTTTTAGTAACAAACTTGGTTCTGGATTTGTTTTAATGACCAGGGTTTGCAACCAAGCTTTTGCCACGAATCTTGTTGCCTCTCTTTAGTGACGACTTTTAGCGACCATTTTGATTTCGACACAAATGTTTTTTTAGCTTTAGTCACAAACTGTGCAAGGGTTTTAACCCTTGCAAGTAGTGTATCTTCAGCAATTTTAAACAAAGTTACAAAGGCCTGTAGCAAGGGTCGAAACCCTTGCTAGATGTAGCAACGAATTATGCAAGGGTTACAACCGCTGGTACGAGCAACACATGCTTGAATTTTCACATACGTGTAGCAAGGGTTTAAACCCTTGCTACAACCGCTGCAGGGGACTTGCACCAAGGGTCGCCTATAACCCTTGCTACACGTAGCAGGGGCGGCTTTGCCAAGGGACCGTCCAAGGGTTGGTTAAACCCTTGCTAAATCCTGTAGCAGGGGTTATAACCCTTGCTACGAAGGAAAATAACCCTTGCCATAGACCCTTTTTTTTGTAGTGCACAAAGCAGTAATAATAGGGTTGTTAGTCGATTCGATTTGGTTATAATCGTAAATGTTTAGTCAGTTGACTATTAAATCATTTATGGTTACTGTTAATCACATTCTTTATATTATTCGTTTCATTGTAGTTGGTTATCAGTTATTTTTCAGTAAAATGGCAGTTATTTTTCAGTAAAATGGAAAATTAATAAGCAAGTGATTCGACAAAGTTAGATCGAAATAGCTGACCAGTAGCCTAATCAATAGAAGACCTCCTACTTTTTTCAATTGTGCATTTTTGTAAATTTTTTCCTCCATAAATATGTGTTCTTTTATTAAGTTGTTATAATTAAATAAAAATAATGTAATAGAAATATCAATGCATAATGCCAACACAAGTACACAATAATACCTACTATCGCCAAACTTGATTAAGGAAGCAGACAAAAATAAGAGACCCAACATCAATTACTCAATTCATAAACCACACAAAATTACATGGAAGGTTAAATGTTGTTGATTGTTGTCGAGTTATTGTGCGCAATTCCATCTTTATTATGTGCTCCTTCTAGAGCCATTCCTAGAAATTACTTTCATTTGAACCTAGGTCATTATTACAACTAGGGTACGCAAGGGGTCTTGTAAGCCTACAAACATCTCATTATTTTCATCCTATGTATGCGACTCATTTAGGCGTATTATTTTCGGCCATGACTATGCGAATAGTTGTAATCGATTAGTTGATTCTATAACCATCAACTAGTAATTAATTAGTCAAATTTGACTATCGAAAAACCGACCGTTTCATATTTAATTGGGTATTCAGTGTAACTATCAACCACGGATTCCCACTCGATTATTAGTTACGTAACATTACACCGCGGTTTACCCGCCCCAGTAATCAATCCATAGCGAAGCAGCTCGACTATTAGCTGACTATTCATTAGAGTGTTGCCAATTGCCATGGATCTCTCTTCAATCCTCTTTGCACTCTCGGAAAACTCATGTTAGGCCTAGGGCCTGTAAAACGTCCTAGCCCATTGGGCCAGTGTTGCACTTGACATGCAAAGAGTCGGACAGACTTCTAGTCTAGTGTTGTCTTCATGCTGCTGATTAATGGAAACCCGTCTTCCATCTACCAATGAGAATGAGAATGATCCATGAAATCGTACCGTACCGGTGGTTCAGTCACAAAATACCAGTATCGGAAGTTAAACCGATAGGTGGTATTTAACGGTACTAACAGTTAAACTACGATTAAACCACAATTTTGACATAAAATATCATACCACTGACTTTTTCGATACGGTTTCATGGACCATGCCAAGAAGAAGGCATTCATAATTTTTCATCATTAACAGCCGATTTAGAAGTTTTCGATAACCATTATTGCACCACATCTCTGCTTTAACGTGTGCCCCCTGCTTCGGGTAATATAACCAGCAACTGCCTTCTCTTTAGGACAAGTTTCAGTCACTGAAAAGACTACATTACCTTTTCATCTCTGACCATGAAACCTCTGAGACCCGGCATTGACTAGATATTGACGCAGCTTCAAGATCCCAATCATAGCCATAATTGACTGCAAAAATCTCGTACCAGCTTATAAATTTTCCAACCTCCTTAGACACCTGAACCCAAAACTCTCCAACCAACAACAAAGTTCTCAACAATGAACCCACTACTGTTACTCGCATTCCTCCTCTGCCTCCTCCCCTGTTTTTCATCCAAAGACACCATAACCTTCGACGAATCTCTTGTAGATGGACAAGTCAGAGTCTCTAGCGGAGAAAAATTCAGCCTTGGGTTCTTCAGCCCCGGGGTGTCCAGCAATCGCTACCTCGGAATTTGGTTCACTCAAGTCTCAATACAGACTGTTGTTTGGGTCGCCAACAGAGATAATCCGATCAACGATACTTCCGGAGTGCTCTCGTTCGACCGTTCTGGCCGCAATCTTGTCCTCTGGTGTTGCTCAGGAACGAACACTACGACTAGTACCACTCTGTGGTCTACAAAAATCCCTGCTTCTTCTTCACCAGTTGCAGGTGGCAAGTCAATGGCTCGCCTATTAGACACTGGAAATTTAGTAATTCTGCTTCAACAAGAACCCACGAAGGCTTCAGATGCAAACAATCTGGTTAGTACTTAAAACATCCGTTTATTTCTTGTACAAAATTATTTCTAGTACAGACTCTTTGATGGAAGTAGGCAGAGGAAAAATAGAGTATGTACTGTGGGCGGAGGCAGAATTAGAAACTACCCCTGTCCTCTTTCATAATATAAATTTATAATCAATAAAAATTTAATAAATATAATCAAAACTATTAATACTCAAATAATTCATTCATCGATAAAGAAACAATCAACTAATACAATTATATTTTGCATAAACAATCACGACGAATTTCGTATTCTGAAACAAATGCAAAATATATTCGTTGTGTACACTTTTAAGTAAGTCTCTTTCGGTGCATCCCATTAAACAATCATTAACAAGCTAATCGTCAATCCAACTTTAAAGTTGTTCTTAATACAGCTGAACCTAAGCAAATAAAGTTACGGATATATGATTTATGCACTTTCTTCTCCACCATTACTCGAGATAATTCATCATGTACAAATTGTTGTCGAATAATAGTGTCATGAATTGAACCAATTGACTATTTTTCAGCAATTAATGAATAAATAGTAAGTTGTGATGTAGTGACAAAACACCCTTATGTTACTTGTAGGTGTGGTATTTTTTTCCTCTCCCAAAAATTATCCCTGTCCCCTGACAAGGCCAAAATGACCTAGCTCCGGCTATGAGTATGTAGGCAGGACCAGCGGCGGACGCACGGGTCCGGGACATCCCTAAATTTTGGGAAAACGATTATCCAACCTCCGATGGTAAATTATGTAAGGACAAAAAAAATATATAATTGATAGTCGAGGACACCCCTAAAATTTGAAAATGATTATCCTGCTCTCATTTTTAGTTTGCTTATGGGTATATAAGTTGTAGTTTGAGTAATTCAAACCTAGGATACTATTATTATTAATAAAAATAATTTTCTTTAGACTACAACTAATTTGTTGTTCAATTTTAAACACTGTGTAATAGTAAAATGTCATTCCCTATTTCTAATTATTTTCAAAACCTAACAATTAAAGAAATTATTTTAGACATTGTTATACAACAAGTGTTGAAAGAGTCTTTTCAGCTTTGAGTTACATCAAGAACAAGTGTAAAAATCGAATATGTGATAAGTTCGTGAATGATTCTAGTATGATATACAAAGACAATCCTTTTGAGCAATGTAGACACCAAGTGTATTTTACAGTTATTTTCGAATATGAAAACACATTGTTGACTTTTTTTAACTCGTACGATTCAGGATTTTCTTACACAAGAATTATTTAATTTTTATTAATATTTAAGAATTATTTTTATTTAATTTATTTTTTGAAAGAGAACACCCTATGTAAAATTCCTGGGTCTACCACTGGACAGGAGAGATTATTTCTTTTTCATCTCCAAGTCTCTAACTATGAAATGTTTAATTTGTGTTGGTAAGGAGGTATGGTGGCAGAGTTTTGATCACCCAACAGACACCGTGCTTGCATCTATGAAGCTGGGGTTAGACAGGGAAACTGGAATCAATAGGATAATTCGTTCATGGAAGTCCCCTGACGATCCAGCGACAGGGGACACGTCCTACTACTTGGACCCAAATGGGTCACCTCAGTTGATGTTATACAAAGGTCAGACGAAAAAATGGCGGAGTGGGATGTGGAATGGTATACGGTGGAGCGGGGTTGCGTACATGTCGCGTGGGTTTACTTCAATCTTCAACACAAGTGTCGTCAACGACGACAATGAGTCGACTGTCGTTTGGGGAGTGACTGATCCCACCATCATTTTTAGGATCTACACGCACCCCTCGGGAAACGTGAGGCGAGCCACGTGGAACGGTCAGCGCGGTGAGTGGTTCGAATCGTTTTACATGCCCAAAGACCCGTGCGACTACTATGGACAGTGTGGGCCGAATGGGAACTGCGATCCGAATAGAGATGCAGGGGAGTTTGTGTGCAGTTGCATTCCAGGGTTTGAGCCCAAGATTTTGGCTGACTGGTCAATGAACGATGGGTCGAGCGGGTGTGTGAGGAAGCGGTCGAGGAATTCGAGTTGTGGCCGGGATGGTGAAGGGTTTGTAAAATTGGAAAATGCTAAAGTTCCCGATTCAATGACGGGACGATTGAACAAGGGTATGTATTTGGACATGTGTAGACAAGAGTGCTTGAAAAACTGTTCTTGCACGGCTTATGCGAGTTCTGACTTGGCTAGTGGAATTGGATGTGTGACATTATATGGAGATTTGTTAGATACGAGAGTATTTGCTGATGGTGGCCAGGACTTGTACGTGCGGGTGGACGCAATCGAACTAGATGAGTACATGAAGAGTTTGAGAGGACATACAGACACAAGGAAGAGGAAGATGTTAGCAATTGTGTTGGTGTCTGTGACTGCGGCCATCATTTTGATTCTCTCCCTTGTCTATTTCCTTCTAAGAACCAAAAGGAAAGGTAAGCATAACTTTAAGTAACACTATATTAACCTAGCTTCATATTGCAGATAATGTACATGACCAAAGATCATTCTTGGTGGACAATTGTTGCACAACTATACCACACATGATCCTGCATTTTGAATGTTGCAGGAAACAATGGAGGGTCCAACAGTATCAGCCAAGTGACCATCTTTTCTATCAATGATATATTTATTGCCACGGCAAATTTCTCCTTAGACAACAAACTTGGACAAGGTGGTTTTGGCTCTGTTTATAAGGTAGTGTCTTTAAACCATAAGGAAACCGTCATTAGAGTTATTTATCTATGTCTAGTTGAGAGATCTTGATTAATTTTGGCTAGGGTCGGCTGCTAGATGGACGAGAGATCGCAGTCAAAAGATTATCGAGAACATCGAGACAAGGTACCGAAGAATTCAAAAATGAAGTGCAATTAGTTTCCAAACTCCAACACAACAATTTGGCAAGGCTGTTTGGTTGTTGCATTCACGGAGAGGAGAAGATGTTGGTCTATGAATACTTGCCGAATAAAAGCCTCGACTTCTTCATCTTTGGTACATTTCTTCCCCACTTCAATTCTAGCAAAGCAATACCAATTTCCTATCAATTGTTCTTCTACGGTTAGCTATTGAGGTTAAAGTTTGACAGGGCAAGTTAGACTAAACTTTCTTTATTGTAGTTTTGATTTATGATACTTGGGCTAACATTGTGTACTTTGGAGCCAGATAAGATAGAAGGGACGGGGTTGGACTGGAAGACACGATTCAATATCATTATTGGAACTGCTCGAGGGCTATTGTATTTACATCAAGACTCCAGGCTAAAAATTATTCATCGAGATCTGAAAGCTAGCAATGTTCTACTTGATGCCACAATGAACCCCAAAATTTCAGATTTTGGGATGGCTAGGATGTTCGAACATGATCAAATGGAGGCAAACACAAACAGAGTTGTCGGAACCTAGTAAGACAAGCAGTTAGTCAATTTCAATTCCTGAGTTTAATTTAATGTTTAAGTTGAAAGATGATGAGATCAAAGTGAGCCACACAAAAATAAAGATGTGATATATAAACTTATGAAAATTTACAGCGGATACATGGCACCTGAGTATGCAATGGAAGGTATGTATTCAATGAAATCAGATGTCTATAGCTTTGGAGTCATGACACTTGAGATAGTGAGTGGTAGAAGAAGCAACCATTACAATCAAGAGAGTTCATCACTTGGGTTGATTGATCTTGTAAGTTTTCAGACCCTCACCCTAATAAACTTAAATTCTTTCCTATTCTTTAATGGTCTAGGTATAATATATAATCTCAGTTATATAATCTAGGACTATGGTGGCCAATGGTCAAATATGGATCAAAATTATTTGAAGGTGTGAACTCGGTTTAACCGATCCTAATGTTGATTCGACCTGATTCGATCTGATTTCTTTTTTTTTTTTTTTTTATAGTCGTGGGACATGTGGAAAGAAGGAAAAGCGTTGGACGTGATGGATTCATCAACCATAGCATCGGAATCCTACTTTAAAGACCAAGTGATGAGATGCATTCAGATTGGCCTGTTATGCATTCAAGAATCTCCAAAAGATCGACCGACCATGTCAAACGTTGTCTTCATGTTAGTAAACGCAACTAGTGTTCTTCCATCTCCCAAGAAACCGGCATTCATCTCCAAAAGGAAATTCGTCGATCCAGACTCAGCAGCGGCCGCAGCTGGACCAACCGTTCCTTCCATCAATAATGTGTCGATCACCGATTTGGAAGCTCGATGATGCTTAAAGCGCTACGTTTGGATGAGGAATTGTAACGGATCAATTTGACACAATTGTCTCGTTTTGAGACAATTGCACCAAATTGCCTCGTTTGCCAGCAAAAAATTTGGATGGATCTATCTGCCTGAGGTATTTTGAATTGATCCGTTTTGAGTCAATTTCAATTATCTAGGGTGAGGGCAGGTAATTTGAATTGACTCATTTTAATGGCCTCGTTTATAAAACGAGACAATTGATCAAATTGACTCATTTCTAGATTGATCCATCCAAATGATTATCTCCATAACTATATGCAACTTTCACCATTCACCGTGAGTAGAAAAATTCAGATCCTAAATCTCTCCATATTATTCGACGAAAAAGTGGTTGTTTTATTTCTGAATACATGTATGAGATGGACTTAGGTATTTTGTTCGTTCTGTTTGCTACATGTTGCTGGGCTTTGCTTAAGTGGCTACAGTATTAAGCGTTAATACTAGTGATTAAGGACAATTATAACACATACAGACTCCCAGTTGGGAACAAAAGGGAGCTTTACTCTTGCACGAACAGGTACTCTTGTACCCACAACAATCTGCGTCGCACTTGCATCCACCGTCGTCGCCATTCAGTCGCCGGACGTTCGCCGGCCGGTACATCTTCGGTGGTGTTTTCCCTTCATCATGTCCACCGCCACCGGCCTCCGTTCCTTGCACCAGTAACGTCACTGCATGCATGCCAACAAATCATTCCTTTTTTATGTTGGTTAATCAAAGATACGTTATGCGGCCGCGGTACATTTTCTCACTACATAGTTTAGGAGTAATTATTACCATTTGCTAACCCCCTAAATTCTAATGGCTAAACCATCAACTCTAATTATGATCGAAAGCAACAGACGTGTTATAAACGCGCTGCTACGGATCGGGAAATCGCCGGAATCGACAAAGCAAGAATACGAGAGCGAGAATCGAAAGAACACAGACACACGATTTACGTGGTTCACTAACACGATGTGTGTTAGCTAGTCCACGGGCGAGAGAGAGCCAGTTTCACTATATCTGAGGAGATTACAGATTACAGAGGAGTATGAGAAGTATTTATAGTACTTCTCCATGTGGGTCTAAACCTAATCCAATCTAGCAAAGGAAACGGTTACAGACCAGGCCCAGAACCCGAACCCAAATAACATTGAGCCCATACACCGTGGGCCGGGGGCGTTGCCCCCGCACCCCCACCGGGGCGTTGCCCCTGGACCCCACTCGCTGACCGGGCAGCGAGACCCCCGGTTACCAGTCGTAGCGGCTGATAGTCCGATTCAAGTCATATCAACAAGACGCGATATATATATAACTCGTCGAAGTACATTCAAATGCATCGAGCAACCACCAGACCACTTGGCGTATTGGATAATCTAATAAGAATATGATAACCCTTTCCATCGCCACGCATATTGTACGTATATATGGTCGGTGAAAACGATTGAAAAAAGGTAACAATCCGACAGGTAGGAGATTTAAGTTTAATTCCAAGACGTTGACCTAATAGTAATTAACTTAGGGATGGAAACATCCATCGCGCTCTAAATTCAAATCTTGTAGATAAAAAAAATTTAGACTTACACAGGAAGGCCACGAGCAATGCGGTGAGCACACCAGACTGGATTAATGTAGTTTGCTTGGCCATGTTAGGAATGTATCGATGCAAGAAGGTAAGCAATCAAGGATAGATGGATCGATCTATATATATTGATAGGAGAAAGGTTGATGGCTGTGTCCTTCCAAGTCCCTTGTTTTGGTCACATAAATATGTTTTAGAGACGTACGTCTTCAAGCGTGCACCTTGAAGTTTCTTTGTAGAATCGGCGTGAATTCGTCACGAAACTCTATCCATATAAGAAAACAAGACGCAAAAAGCCAAGTTGTGTTAGTTGTTTTATACCAAAGAAACTATATTGAATACGATTTGGCCGGCTGAAAGGAATAAGGTTACGTGCAAATGGGAGTATCCCATCCATATGCACCATGCATATACTTTTTTTACATTATATTTTGGAACTAGCTTATTACCCGGCCCGTTGGCCGGATTACTGTATGTTACCCACTTGTGGAATGGGAGAGAAAGTAAGTGAGAGTGAAGGGATTGGGATTCCACTTGATTAGGACCGACCCACTAATCCAATTTTTCCCGACCCGCCCCAACCTAAAGGGTCAGAAAGAGTCAATAAGAAAATACGAACGGGGAGGATTAGTCATATATCTTGACTCTTCAGAAGTGGGTCAAACAGGATCAAGGTTGGGTGAGGGCAATTTTTAGCGCTAAGCAGAGTTCAGGGTTGAATACCTTTACTTAGGCCTAGAAATTGGTGCTGATGCAGACTGCAGTTATTATTATACCATCATCAATCATCATTGAATTAGTCCTGGGCATCTCTCCCCGTTGTCGGTCTGAATTCTAATGATGGCTTCATTCCTTGCACCAGCCATATCAGCGAGTTGCCATCTCGAGCATGATTTGCCTATATACAAATAATACAATTAGAGTATGAAAATGAATTCAAAGAAAAGGAAAAGAGAATTCTATCACATGCCAATAAATACACAAATAATAGTTGAAGCTAAGTGAAAGTCATTACTCGCACATCAATTCTCAACAATTACAGACTAAACATTGGCTAGAATGGCACTGAAACTACCAAGAATCATGGACGAAACAACTTGTCAAATTAAATAATCCTTATACTGAAACTACCTTCTAACTTGAAATAAGACATGATCACAGTTCATAGCTCTCTTCTCACTATGAATTGGTTGCAGCTCGTCCTTATCACTGCCTCTCAAGCTCAATTCAAACAGAATAGAGACCGTTATGTAAGATAACCATATTCTTACTGATCATAATTCCTTTCTTCACTCCATTTTTGTCGGAGAAAAGATTTATCCCCCTCTCCTGCATTTCCCTTTCCCCCTCTCTTCTCCCTCTTCTTCACAAACCGATCCCTAAACCAGCAACAACAACACAAAAATAGCCTTCGCCTCTGCCGTCTCCATCTATTGAACGCGTTGGTGGCAAGACAGGACTGCAGAAGCAAAATTTTCTAAAATCAAACTAAATTTTTTGAAGCAGACTCAACCACGAAAAAAGAGTAAAACAACAATGCAGTAGAACCATAAATTTAACTACAATCAAGCACATATCAGCAAGATTTTCGATTTGTCTGAGAGTTAACTACACAGAGAGAACAATTGATGCATAATTGAAATGCTCCAAGCAAGTTGAAGGCAAACCATAACTTTAGAATTTGGTCATTATAATAACCTTCAAGTATTGATGCTTCTAAGAACTATCATGTCCAACCCCCACTTATACAACTACGTAGCCATAGTAGTTAGTTGTATAATGAGAAATATTACAAAGAAAACTAAATAAACAACCAATGCAAGTAAATATTAAAACTAACAACTGATAAAACTTAAAATCTCTCTATTGGTATAAATGTATCTATTAGTAACTACTATGCAATCGAGTATATATGATTTTTAGGCACTGAATAAGAAAAGTATAGATGGCTCACAAATGAAGACCTAGCAACTGAAGGTAGCACACAAAAACCAAAAATAAAAAAAAAAGAGATAAGAAAAAAGGCGAGAAAAAGTTAAACAAAGAAAAAGCCCACATAGGAATACCTCCTAGCTTTAGGGACTCTCTGCCACAACAAACAACCTTCTAAAAAATCTAACACCCTGAGACATCAAACAAACCTCCCACGACACTAATGTATGGCATTCCTATTGTCCAATAGGTTTGCCCAATTTAGACTTCTAAATAAATGAACTTTTCACCATTAAACCAAAACTCACAATCATTAACAGTTAATGCAAAGACATACATTTCTGAGGCCAATCACAGCATTTAAGCATAATTTTTAGTTGAAAAGAACAACTAAGTATTTAGCTAAATGATATAGTAGAATGGACACAATCGGCTACCTACTAATGATATAAACGTGTACTGGTACCATCGTTGTATCCTGACTTGCCATTTGCAACGGGCACTTTGAAAGACAGCTGCATTTTAGAGAATAAACACCCATAAGGGCGTTACGAAACCAAGCTTAATCCAAAATCTTCATATTCCACTTCGAAGACTCCATTTTCAAAAATAAGAGAGTTTAACATGTCAAATCACTCATTTGAAAAATCTCAAACAACTATTAATCAATGCAATATAAAGGCACGTTCCAAATTATATACTTGTAGGAATAATCCAAAATAATTATCAATTAATGCCCCAACTACCTAATGTGCAGAATAGCCCTGTAGCTGTGCTGTTGTTTGCGTTGGTCTACCTTCAAACATAACATAGTTGCATCACGAACCAAAGCAATTAAGCAAAAATCTTCATATTTCAAGTAGAATGACTCAATTCAATTTGGCCAACGCTTTATACATATTGTTTACCCCTGGACCTGTTGCACTTGCGCCTTCAGATCTTCGTGAACACAATACAATTGCGGAGAGGAGGCTGTCAACGGAATAAAAATTGTTAATTAAGTGAATCACCATACAACTAAACAAACGCGCTCTTCTTGATTAGCTATCAAAATAGTGGGGGTCGCTACAATCCATCGGTTGCTCCCTCTGCGCCTAAGTTGTAGATATTAGGTTTCAGTGAGAACTTTGAGTACATGAGGAGATATTTTGTAGTGGAGGAGATGACCCGGCGAGTAGAATAGGAAGATTTGGAGAGGCTGCGATGGGCAAAGCAGTTAAAATCGGGATTTTACCTAAAATAAAAAACTGGGGTAAAATCAAAATCGTATAATCGAATCGTAAAATCGTAGGATTTTAAGTACCATATAGAACATAGCATATAAGAATATTAATAAGGTCAATTATTAATATCACAAAGACACATAGCATTTAAAATGATAATTCAGAAGATTTTTTTTTCCATAAGATAATTCTCAATATTAATGTTCCAAAATCACTATTTTAATTGTTATTTAATGTGTAACTCAAAATAATTCATGATGAAGGGATATAGTTCATGGGTTTGGCTCTTATTTTCATGTTATGTCTAGGTTGTTTAACTCAAAGTAATATTTCGACATCGTCTACTAAGTATGATTTAAAACTAAAAATAATTGAACTCCAATAAAATAAGTAATGTTAGTGGCTTGGTACAAATATATTCATTAATAAATTAATTAGTTAATAATGATGTTAGTTCTTACATACTTTCAATATTAGGACAGGTGTTTTACCAATAAGTTAAATGGGGTGAAGGGAAAGAGATTAACCGAACCCTAATTTGGTTATTTTTATTATTTTTGAATATTTTTCTAATAGAAAAAATATCTGAGAAGATTCCATTGCCCTTTCCGCTGAAACAGTTATACTTATTTTAAA